TCCTGCCCCAGGAAACTGCTGAGATCCACCTCCACAGCCTGTCACCGGGTCCCAGCAAATAGCAGCCTTTCTGGCAGGTCCTCCCCTCCCTGTCAGATGCCCAAGGGAGGGGAAGCTTCTGTCTCCAGCTTTCCGAGTACCAGTGACACTTTTCACCAAGCAGGACAGTGCTTGATACAGGAACAACATTTACAGCTCATTCCAGATCCCAAGCCCCTGGAGGCTGCCTCCCAACAGTGGGTAAAGGAGACTCTCCAGGGGTCCTAGGCCTCAACTCCTCCTGTAGATACTCTCCTTCTCATAGGTGTCCAGCATTGCTGGACTCCGAAATATCCTGGGGGTGGGGGGTGTGGGGAGGTCAGAACCCTGCCATGGAACTGTTTCCTTCATTACAAGTTCTGCTGAATGCCACAATGGGTCAGGTAGGGGGGAAGCAGGTTGGGATGGGATAGGACTAGCACCATTTTAAGTCCCTGTCACCTCTTCCAACTCTTCGGAGTGCCTTCTGTGGGGACTCCGGCTGTGCTGGGAGAAATACTTGAACTTGCCTCTTTTACCTGCTGGTTCTCCAAAAATCTGCCTGGGTTTGGTTCCCTCTTTTTCTCTCCCATCCTCCCTCACCTCCTTCATATGAAAGGTGCCATGGAAAAGGCCACAGGGCCAAATGCTGAGCCACCTGCCCTTTCTTCTGCCTCCTTTAGTAAAACTCCGAGTGAACCAAAAGGTCTTCCTTTTTGGTTTTTACTTACTATTTCAAAGCCAAGACCTCACACACACAAGCAATGCACAAACAATGCAAATCAACAGAAAAGCTGTAAATGTGTGTACAGTTGGCATGGTAGTATACAAAGATTGTAGTTGCTCTAAGTTTTTACAAATTCTGCATTTAAGTTATTTTTTTTGTTTTGTTTTTAAAGATGCGCATTCTAACCTGGAGGTCAATGTTATGTATGTATTTATTTATTTATTTATTTATTTATTTATTTATTTGGTTCCCTTCCTGTTCCAAGCTTCCACAGCTGCTGCCCTAGTTTTCTTTCCTCCCTTCCTCCTCTGACTTGGGGACCTTCTGGGGGAGGGCTGCAACGCTTGCTCTGTTCATGGGGTGACGGGACTCAGGCGGGACAGTGCTGCAGCTCCCTGACTTCTGTGGGGCCCCTCGCCTACTTACGCAGGTGGGTCCAGGCTCCATGGGTGGTGGGGAGGGGCATTGCTGACTGTATATAGGATAAATATGAAAAGCAGTTCTGGATGGTGTGCCTTCCAGATCTTCTCTGGGGCTGTGTTGTGAGCAGCATGTAGCCTGCTGATTTTATCTGAGTGAAATACTGTACAGGGGAATAAAAGAGATCTTATTTTTTTTTTTATACTTGGCATTTTTTGAATCAAAACCTTTTGTCTTAAAAAAAAAAAAATTAACTGGGCATGGTGGTGCGTGCCTGTAATCCCAGCTACTCAGGAGCCTGAGGCAGGAGAATTGCCTGAACCCAGGAGGCGGAGGTTGCGGTGAGCTGAGATCACACCATTGCACTCCAGCCTGGATAACAAGAGCGAAACTCCGTCTCAAAAAAAAAAAAAAAAAAACTCTATTTAATTTTTGAAAGATATTAAAAAAAAAAACATGACTTGTCACTGTTGCAAAGAATATAATATAGTGAAAAGAAAACAGATTCATTTACAATCTTTAGGTTTTCTGCACAGGTGGACTATGAGATGACCATTCAGAATAAATTTTTACTAAATCCGCCATATTTCTCCTATATAAAGATAAAAGGTTATTATAGTTATTGCAAGTTAGTCAAGAGTATGAAGTTTTGATTGCCAAAGTTCCCATGTTTTCTGAAGCTTGTATTTTGATCTTTGTAAAAACAAGCTAGTGAAAGCATTTAGCATAGATGAAGACTGGGATTTCTTTCTTTCTAATATTCCGTAACACTGTGATACATTCCCTAAGCATAATAAATGCTAAGAGAGTTGCATTTAGATTAGCTCCTAGTCCACCTCCAATATAAACCTGCCACAATAATAATTTTCATGTGTTACACTGCTGCAACGAATAATACTTTAGAAGGGCTTAGAAAAAAAAGTGTCTCCCTTAGTGAGTGGCTTATCAATACGGAGTGGCTCGAATACTCATCTTCCTTATTATGTACTACCACATAAAAGTGAAGGGCTTATGAACCTCTTTTCTCTTCTATGCTGTTTTTATTTATAGAACCAGGGAGGAAGAGTTCTTGGTTTAATACTATTATTTTATTAAATAGGTTTTTCTCACCTTTTCCATTCTCTTCTCCGTCTGAAATGTCCGTAATATGAATATTTATTCACCTAATGTGGTATTCTATACATCTGTAGCCTTTCTTCATCCTTTCAAATGTATTTTTCTTTTCTTTTTCCTTTCATTTATTTATTTATTTATTTTTGGTGTGCCTGTGTTATTTCAAAAAATCTGTCTTCAAGTTCAGAAATTATTTCTTCTGCTTGTTCTAGTCTGCTGGTGAAGCTCTTGATTGTATTTCTTTTTTATTGCATTAATTGAATTATTCAGCTCTAGGATTTCTGTATGGTTATTTTTAATGATATCTCTTTGTTGAATTTCTAATTCAAACTATAAATTGTTTTCCTGATTTTCTTGAATTATCTCTCTGTATTCTCGTGTATCTTTTTGAGTTTACCTAAGATTATTATTTTGAATTCTTTTCTGGCATTTCATATATTTTCTTATGATTGGGGTCTATTCCTGGGTAATTATTGTTTTCCTTTGGAGGTGACATATTTCCTTGCTTTTTCGTATTGATATGTCCCAATGTTGATTTCTACACATCTGGTAGAAACGTCACCTCTTCCAATTTTATGGGGTAGGTTTCATAGAAAAAGAGCAATTTGTATTAATGGGTCTTAGAGTGTCAGTTGGTTGGGAAGTGTTGATCTTCATTTTAGGTGGATGCAGTAGTGTAGCTCCATGTAGCTTCTTCAACTGAAATCCACACTAGTGGTGTTTGCAAGTTTCTCAGTGGCCTAAGCTGAGAGAATTTGTGGTGACAGTGGTGTGCCTTTGCTGAGATTGGCCTCACCACCCCATTTCTCTGGTTGGGGGTATGTGCATGCACGCAGTGGGTCAGCCACCTTGGGGTCTGTCTAGCTGTGGTTGCAGCCATAGGGCTGTTACACTGTCCAGGACCAGAGACAAGTGGTGGCTGCTTGGTTGGCTCAGGGGCATGTCTACTGGGGACAGCCCATGGAGCTGTTTCTCAGTGTGCCCACCTATTTCTCAGGTCCTTATTGGGAGCACAGGGCCACTGGGAAGGCCCAGGGACGAGTTTGTGGTGGGGTTAGGAGGGGATGTAAGGGTGCAGGGCTGTTTCTCAGGTTCTGAGTGTGGGCACATTGCCAACTCCGTTGGGTATATCAGCTGCTCAGATGCTCAGAGGCCTCTCTGACTTGCAGGAGGCCACGCAGCAGTTTGGCTGGCTCAAGGGCAGGTTCTTCCTGGGCAGGACTGGAAGACTGCTGTTCCTCCTGCCATAAGTGCAGGCGGGGGTTTGTTTCTCTGCCATGAAAGACCAGAGTCACAGCCAATTCTGGGCCCAGACTCCCCACATCTGGGTTGTGGTGATCAATAACCCATGTAGGTTTGGCATAATGAAGATGGAGCCCCAGTGCTGGAGAAGCACAGAGGCTACTGACCTTAGAGCAAGACATACTTGAGAGGTGGCTCAGGTCTCAAGACGGCAGCATGCTGCAGCACCTTGGTTCACAGTGGGTGAATGGGGGTGGGGAGTACACATCTTGTACTCCTAGTCCAGGCAACACAGCAGCATGAATTCTCTGCAGCTCTCCAAGATGGACTCAGAGCTTAAAGGAACTATGGGATTCTTCTGTTGTGAGGACTATAGGTGTTTGCAGTGGCAATGGAGCTGGAGCACAGTGAGGATCTCCTGCTTAACATTTTCCCACATGTGAAGTCTCTCCTGACTTCAGGTGTATCTGATCCAGGCAGAGTAGATGAAGCGGCAGACAACAGATACCTCCATATTACCTTCCTAGACTTCCAATCACCACTCATCCATCACACTCCAGCACTCTTCCTTCAACACTGCAGTCAAAGTCTTAGCTGTTTATTCTGGTAGAAGTGAATGCCAGGTGCCTCTGGTCAGCCATCTTGCTGACACCACTCTCAACAGCTTTATTTTGTAGATGAGTAGTGAAGACTAAAAAAGGCAACAGCATAGTTAGATAAGCGCCTTCTCTTGATGAATCAAACTCCCGGATTCAAATCTGCTACTTCTTAACTATGATCTTGGGCAAGATACTTAACTCTGTAGGTCTTCATTAACTTTAAAAATAAGCATTCCAAGAGTATCTGACTTTCTTTGAGGTTGCTGTCAAAAATGAGGGTACAGTTCTTAATATAGTTTCTGAAAAAATAGTAAGTGTTCAATAAGTATTAGATATTTCAATGAGGTGACTTGCACAAGGTCAGGCAGCTGGCCAAAAAGGGATGGCCAGACTATTGTGGGAGTATAAGACATTGGTTGTTTTTGCTGTGTATACCAAAGTATACTAAATATATTTAGTGATATTAATAATATCACTAAGTAATATTATCTCTTTGCCATTTTTTGAAAAACTAATTCAAAAACATACACTTGTATTTAGCATAATTTTTATTCCTCTGAATGCTCAGACTTCAATTTACAGTTTGGTTTTCTATTTGAGGAAAGCTATCTCTTCGAAAGGTATACTCTAGGTGCTGCAGTGCTTTAGGGCATTATTACAAACATAGGTTTTCAGTGTACTATTGAGTCAGAAATGTGTTTAATGGAAACTACAGGTGATAGGCTGCCAAAAGAAAGTGAATTTTTACTAAACCTTGCATTCTCTGCGAATTTTTCAAGAGTGTAAAGTAAAACATTTACGCAACACCCAAAGCTCTCTCAAGGGCCAGTGATGTAGCTACATATTTTCATTGTAATTCAAACAAGTAGTAAAGTGAAATGTCATTTGACAACATATTCTATTTCTTCTTTATATTACATATTCAATTTATAAATATCAGACAAAAATGGATCCCATTATATGGAAAATAAATTTTAATGACTAGTTATTTATTATGAAATAACAAAATGAAATATGCAGACACCCCTCACTTTTCATAGATTCATGAGGCTTCCTATATTACTCATCTGTCATCTTAGCTTCAGGGGTAACTCTTTTTACTATTCCTTGCATGAAAAATGATAGTTGGTAAAATAAATAAATAAATAAATGTTTACAATAGTCAGTTTTATAAATTTTGCTCTTTCAGAGCAGAATTCAAATAAGAAATTATCAGAAAATGAGTAGAGCCAGGAATACTGATTTAACAAAAAATATGCTACACACACACACACAGACACACACACACACACGCACACACACACACACACACACACAGAGTACATTTTATGCTATACATCTATTTAGTTAGAAGATTTGTTATGCACGTATTCCTCTTGGACTTAAGTGCCTTAGGCTGGATACCCTTACCCCTCACAAAAACAGGGTCTTTAAAAAGGGTTGTGTGCAGTTCATTCATTTTGGAATGTGATTCTAATGAATGGGATTGGGAACTTTGGAAAAATTAAATAAGGTAAGGCAATCTAAGATTGTATTTTTAAGCCAGTCAGTACTGTAGGTAACTGAAGACTCTAGTGGAGTCCTACTGGAGACCACTAAGGAATTATATGGAATGCACTTCAGAATTGTCTGCCCAAAGGACAGAAGAGGGGAGTATTTACTCACTGAATCTTGTCCCTATTGTCAATTCCCTCAAACTTCCAGGTTTACATACATGTCAAAGTAGATCAGCAAATTTCCACAGGTGTTCCACATAACTGAGGTGTCAGAAAAGCACTAATACAGAAATCTAGAGATGCATGGGACAACAGCAGTAAAGTGCTGTCAAAGAGTAAAATGGGTGAATTGAAAAATGGCCTATGAGGTTGTGAGGTGGGACACAAAAGATATTAAATACAGCCCACTCCTTGCAGCACTCAGAACCACTCAGTTTCCACGTTGAGTCCAATCTGTCACAGAGTCTTCAAGGGAGTGGGTAGCCATTACACAAATACTAAATGCAAAAGATTTAGTGGAACATGTTTTGGTGGCTGCTGTGATCGATTTCAAGTCTATAATTAATAGTTATCATCTCTCTCTTCCACCACAAATTCTGTATTTCTCTCACATTTGGCCAAGCTCTTCAGTAGATTCAAGTGGCTGGAGTGGTGGAGTGACCTAGACCTTCATTCTCAAAGGATCAGAGTCCTTAGCTGCTTTACCTTGTCAGGCTGTGGTTGCTTCAGTTGCCCATTTAAGGTTATCACTTGACATTGAAACACCGAAGGATGCCTCAATGAAACCCCTAGCAAGGACATACTCTATCCTGCCTCCATTAATAGTTATAACTCTAGCTCTGCATGGTAGCCAGGATCAATATCTCTTCCAATATCATGCTTCTGTTTGCCTGCTTAACAGTTGACATGAAGAATCATTATGACTAGATGGTTTTCATAGCTTCAGGTACCTCAGCTGCACCTCAAGCCAGTCTACCATTCCATAAAAGTTTTAGTAACTGTGAAGTTACTTATACCAGAGGCATTACCACTAACAATGGGGTCCTTGTCACCAAGTGCCCTATGATACAATTCTAGATTCCCGTTCTGATGAGATGCTTTCTAGGGCTACATTAGGTAATCACTGACTTAGCCTGGGTTCCCCTAAAGCAAACATGGGACAATCACTTCCACAGACATTGACTGTAGTTAAATAATTCCAGGGAAGAGAGGGGTACTAGGAAGAGCAAAACAGAAAATGATGGAAATGAAGGAAAGATCAGGCAAAAGGGTATTACCAGTTGGCCACTGTTGTGGATAACCAGGTGGGATTCTTTTAAGAGAACTTCTTTGGAGCTGTGTAGAAGGTACCATAGAACTGTTAAACTGAGGGTTGTAACAGAGAAGTATTTCTCCATCAATTCTCACCCTCCTTGGTCAAGAGGTGCCCCATGGGGTGTTTTAGTCCCTTCACATATCCAGGGTAGTTCATGTGTAAGAATGGCTAAATGGGTTCCTGCTAGTGTTCCACACAGCAGAGAAGGCAGAGAAACTCTAGGGGCAGGAAGCAAGACATACATAGTGCAGCTGAGGCAACTGGAGAGTCAGTTCACTATGCAACTGATTGCTGGAGTAGAAAGTTAGGCTGAGAGGATGGGAGGTGGGTCAGAAGAGCTATGTAGGACACAGTGAAATAAATGCTCTAATCAAGCAATGTGTAAAATACCATGGGAACTTACATGGAAAAGAAGAGGCAATCCTTGGGCTTTGAGGCATGAGAAAAGGGCTGAGGACTTACTGTAATTGCTTCATCCACTTGCTACCCTTTCTTTTTCAATATCAAATTAATTATGCTCATTATCTTCTTCCCAAAGCCTAACATTTTAAAAAGGAGCAAAAGGAGGACAAGAATGAGGGGAAATTAAATATTTTCTTCTGTGGCAAAAACTTTTTTAACGTTTATAAAAACTAGTTTGGAGCTAGAAATAAAAAGCATATTTCCCTTCAGACTGTGCCTTACACTTTCCTGGAGCTGGGAAAAAGCATGAGAAAGCACCTGAATAAATATGCACACTGTCTAATCATTTAGGTGGTGAGAAGACAGAATCTGCTTGACACTGCAGTGAACAATTCAAACCACAGCAAAGAAATGCATTTATGCATATTTTAAACAAAAGGATGATTATTCTTTCATGGTCCTAAAGTTGAAAAACAAATTTGAAATGGCTATTAAAAACACCCACTCTCAAATACAAGTTTCTATAGGATATATTACTTGTACCTGACTAATGGACAAGCTTTCCAAAATTCTGTAGTTGATATGCATGTTCCTTTCAAAACAAAATGTTTATATAATGTATTTTTGCTTGCTTGGTATTAGAAGAAAAATTTCTTATCTAGATGAAAGAAAGTTAAGAGATGTTTAAAAAACATCTAAGCAAATTTTAAAAAGATACAAGTTAGGTTTGAGAAAGCTCACAAGCTACAACATTCAAATTCAGTATTTTATATTGTTGTGATTGTATCTATATTTGTACTTCACTTTTATCCATATTATAAATAGTTATGATTTACATCTGAAACTATGATTCATAGTGTTTGATTCACTTCTAAAATCAAGAAACTCTTATTTTTATTTTGACACTTCTATATGCATTTATAAAATTATACATGTAATTTATAAATAAATCATCCTAGGTTATTTAAAATATGTCTTTCCTATCCCAAACAGGCAGATCGTTTCTATATCAAATTAATTAGTTGCTACTGTCAGTTTTAAAAATAATTTCTCAATTTATCTAAAATGCCTAACACTGCCACCATGATGTGAAGTCAGTAAGATACTTATAATACCTTTTGTAAAAGTCGGCATTTATCTTACACTAGTTCTCTTTTCAAATAGAGAACATATGTAAGAAATGAGTAAGTCAATAGGCCATATTTAACCAGCACTAGTGATTGTCAATGGAAAAATACAAATGCAATGTAAACTTGAATTTATTTTACAGTTTATTTTAATTTACAGTTTATTTAATTTACAGTTTATAAGAGTATTATATTAAGGAATTAATTTATATGCAGTAAAATCACAAATCTAAACATACAGCATGAGGAATGTTGATGAATGTATACAGCTACGTAACCATCATCCAGATCAAAATACAAAACATTTCAATCACCCCAGGAAATTTCCTCAGGCCCCTTTTCCATGTAATTTGAATTCCTTGCCCTTACCTAGAGCAGCCACTGTTCTGGTGTTTATCATCAAATGCGTTTTGCCTGGTAGTGGCTTTAATATAAAAGTAATTGGACAATATGTTATGTCTGGCTTATTTTGCTCAATTTAATGTTTCTGAGATTCACACAGGTTGTTACATGTATCAGTAGTCCTTTTTTTAATGACCAGTATTCCACTGACTATATTGCAGTTTACCCATTTTCCTGTGGATAGATATTTGACTGTTTACAGTTTTGTGTTATTGTGAATAAAGCTCCTATGAGCATTCATTTTTTGGGGTATATATCTAGGAATGAAATGGCCAAAGCACAGGGTAGTGCAGAACGGTTCTCTAGGTGGCCCTGGACAAACTCAATTGTCCACCCTTTCTCACTTGTAGTTCTCAAGAATAACTGTACTGTGTGCTGGGAATGTAACATCCTGGACTGAGGGACTCTGAGAAACATTGTGACTTTACAGATCAAATCATCTATAAAGAATCATCCATTTTCATGTTAATCATATACAATTTGCAACAGATACTATATTTTCAGTGACTTCTATGAAAATAATTATTGTTAAAATGTATGCATGATGTCTTAAAAAAGATTGATACTTTTTTTTTGTTTATCTTAAAAGGTATAGAGAAAAAGTGATTGGTATGGTTATCTATTACACTCCTATATATCACATTTCTCTATTAGCCATAGGTCTGATTCTGGTTGTTTCCATTCTTCTCCAAGCAGTGTGTTAAAATTGAAAGGCTTGAAGTATTCTAGGCGATGGCTAAAAGCAAAGAAAAAGAAAATGGGAATTCAAATGAATTATGCATTTGTGAAATAGATGTCCCAAAGGGCTATTTATTTTGTCACATCTGTGATAGGACAACATTCTATTTTAAGCAATACTAAAGGTAAGATATATTTTATATGTACAGTTTTCTCACTCTAGCTATCACTCAGCTCTGAAAACATTCACCTGTGTCTTAAAGCACTTTTTTCAATTTTGCAAATAGCTCCCTCACAGCTGAAGGGAGAAATCAACTCTCAAAACATGACTCATTCCATTCAGTTTTAAACAAATCATATTATGCTCCTGCATATGTTTTTATATCCAAACTTTGGTATAATTTATATCAGTCATATAAGCAATTGTTTTAAAAAGTTTCAGTTCCACAGATAAGAAGACAGACTTCTTAATTCCCTTCTCTGCCAAAGCAAGAGAGGTTAATGTAAAAGAGTGCTAATCCCAGTTCTTTTCTTTCCAGGAAAACCCTTTAACTATATCAAGAAGCTTTCTCTTGTGGCTTAATGAGGAAAGTCTTAGGTAACGTGCTTCAGTGGAGCCTTACTCTGTAGGAAGTCACTCTGCCTTAGCTCTGTCCTGGCCAGTGTATAATCATACTTCCACCTAAGATAAGCTTCCAATAACGTATGAATGAGGAGGCTGAATATAGGAAGGTATTAGCTGATGAACAGCCAGATATGAGGACGTTGAGTCAGTTGCAACTACATTTTTGTCTTATTCTGCCCACCTGGTGAGGATAAATCAGTTTTTGAGTCACATTTGTCAATCCCAGAGTAAGAGATTAAGGAAAAAATAGTGAAGGATAAGAAAAAGGAAGGAAAAAGGAGACTAGGTAGAAGCTATGTCAGGACTGGGGAGAGAGGCAAAGGGAAAAAGGGAAAGAATGTCAAGCAAAATAAAGAAATATGCTAGAAGGGATGAAGACGAAGTGTGAAGTCAGAGCATGACAGGAAGGAGAGGGCAAACAGGGAGAGGAAGGATAATGCAGCACATTCCAAAGGTAAAAAGACAGGAATGTTCATCTACCATAGTGCAATGCTCACTAGGATGTCTCTGTTAGGTTCTTCCAAATGCTCAGACTCACCAGACTACCTTGGCTATGGTGAGTATACATAGAGACATACAGAGAAGGAATCACAGTTTGCCCCAGGACAGCATCTGGCTTTCCTCCCTAAAGGAGCAGTCCTTGCAGAAGCCCATGAAGCATTCATAAGGCTCTGGTCTGCCTACGTGAGAGCTACAGGTGCAAGGAAACAAGACACAAATTGAGAAAACATAGCGGATACCTTGGCTCAAATGCCTGCTACCCCATGAGAGTAATATCTCTTGGAATAACTCCATAGGCATAGCTTCCAGGGTTCCCACAGGGAATACGACTGTTAAAAGGGAATCCCAAAGCCATACTGTCTCTATCATATATTTATACTTCATTCAAAATTTTTCTCAGTCCAGATGTAATTTACCACTTAAGGGCCATTTTTATCATAAGCAATGTTGCCTAGAAACAGAGTTGACATTTTTATCCTTATGAGGTTACCAGAAGAGGAGAACTAGAGAGTTAACAGAAGATCAGATTTCCTTGCAACAGGGGATCCTTTGTTCACACCAGGAAACACTGAGGCTTCTGGCCCTTTAGCTCTGAAAGAAGTTTTAAATGAATTTGTAACCATACTTCTGTATCAGCTGTTGCAAAGTTTAATTTTCTCACATGCAACGTTTAGTTTTCTCACATGGAAACAACACTTTTCTCATATCACCATGGAAAAATAAGTGCTCTACTGACAGTAGTGAGAGAGATTTATGTCAGTCCAAAGTTCACTAAGTATTACCTGAGGATCATCAGCAAACATTGGGCTCTCGTAGGTGCTTGTGCACATATGTCGTCTTCTTTGATCAGTAGTGTTACTCACTTCTGCTCCACTAAGAACGAACTTCCAAAAAACTTGTATATTTGGAACATATATTCATTTATTTTCTACTTACAAGTCAGGTTTTTGTCCTTGTTGCAGTTCATGCTTAGGTACAGGGTAAAGAGCTTCATAACTTCGTTTATCTTTTGATCCATGAATTGCAAATGAATTGAATTTTGTCACATTTGGTGGAAAATAACTCCAAGGAAGATAAGCTTTGCCTTCCCATTTTGTCTCTCCTCTGGACACTCTGAATGACAAAGGAAGTTCTTGCTACAGAAACAACATGTGGAACACAAAAGATAAAATTGGGCTTATACTTTAAACATAGAAATATATGTATTACTGTGTACATAATGATTTTGTCTCACATTTTAATTTACTTACTTTCCACACATTTCTTCTTCCAGAAAGTAAAAGCACTAAATGCTGGCCGTGGCTGTCAAAATTAAGATTCCTCATGAGTGTTTGAAAAACATAAATGTCATTTTCTTCACTATCCTTTATACATGCAATGTGTGTGTTTGCAACTAAATTTCCAAATAATTAAAAGATGCAGTATTAATACTGCATAATTATAAGGAGAGCCAGTGTGTTCAGTTGCTTAGAAATGACGTCTTTGAGTTTACCATTCTCCAGACAACTGCCACCAAATGCATAAAGTTTCACATTTAGATTGCTTTTTATATTCTTTAAATAAAAAATTATATTAAATACTTCATTTGGTTAGATGACACAAAATATGAAAAAAAGTCAGAGAGATACCATGTTATTTGGAATTTGTTATAAAACGTGTTTCAAAAACTAAAGCAAGCACCGATTCCCAAGTCTGAATTCAACAACTTTAATAAAGGTTATTTCTGTAAGAAAACTATCTGGTAGCTCATTAGGAAAATTTTAAAAATGCAAAACATAGACTGTCTGCAAGTAGTCAACAGGCTAAAGATTTCAGTCAGTGTCTATTTTTTTCATATGCTGTCCTCAACCTGTCTGCCTCTTGTGTTTTGCTGCTTTCTACCATTAGTTCAGCATCATGTTTTCAAAAAGGAACAGAGTATATTCCCAAAGGGAAATTCTAGTAACAGTGTACAATTGGGAGTAGCCAGGTCATTAAGAATCAAAGGATTTCATGTATTTACATGAAGCAAATTCATTAACTCTAAGAAAGCCTGTATCTTAAACATTTCTACACAGATACTCTTTTGAGTGCTTTTCAGGAAGGATTTCCTTCAGTAAACTATTCTAACAGAAGCCAAGTATTCTTTTCCATTTAAAAATATTCTGATTATTTTTGTTGTTATTATGCACCCTTAGGAGTACATCCTAAGAGTAAAAATGCTTGCAAATTAAAATATTCTTCCTGTTGCTTTCTAGAGATTAATTAACTGTTACAGGAAATGACTGCCTGAAGCAAAACCTTGATTCTTAATTATTAACTATCCTGATACACATGAAACCAAACTACTCTGATAATTTCTTTAACCTTTAAAATCTATTACTTTTATACACAATTGTTACTGTGTAATTTCTTAACAAAAGAGAATGTAATTATTTTATTCATCTGTGTTAAGTCATCACTTTATGAAAATAAACCGGTATTACCATTTAATAAAATTAAAACTAAGGGCCAAACTTTAGGAGATCCAACTTCTTTACTGTTCTCTAGACAAGTTAGGAATGTTTGTCTTAATTTTCTTACTTATAGGGTAAAAATAAGCACACAATAGTTGACATTTTCTTACTTCTTATGGCAGTTTATGAGAATTAATGATATTTGTCAGTAACAAATTTTAGCATGTTAGTTGAAATGTGACACACAAAGGTTTATGATTATTCTTAAAAAACATAATGCAAACAGCTAGACTTTTCTACATTAGATTTAGCTAAATATCAAAATAAAGGAAAATAAAAGAGTATCTACAAATCTCATTTAAATCAATTGTTTGGAGCACTCTGTCCAGCCTACAAAAGGAGCAATGGCTTCTGAATGTCAGACACTAAGAAGCATTTAAATGGCATTTCAAATGAATAACTGCAATATAAAGATTTCATTATTAAATACTTTAATAATTTAAAATGTGCTATAATTTAGATAATAGGTGTACATCTATAGAAAAAAGGAAATAGTTTGCCAACCACGTAAACGGGATCCAAGAGACAGTTAAACCTAAACAAAGAGAGTCCAAGTTAATATTTTTAATAAGTCTAAAAAAATCCACATGTGATTTAGTTTTTATCCCTGGCATTGAATGCAAAAGTAATACAGCACATACTTAATAAATGCATGATGAATAAAGAATGGAATACATGAATACATAATTATGTGATACATAAAATAAGTTTCATCTAGTCACTTAAAAATCCTTTAAAAGAAACATTTTTATAAGCTAGTTCAATTAATTATATCCATATCTCTTTTTATTTCTGAACAGCTATATATAATAACGCAAATTTATGAAGTAATGAGTAAAAGTTTGTGTTTTATAATGACTTCATTTTGAAAAAAATCTTCAAGTTTATTAGAAAAATCTACATTACTGAACTGAAAATATTGACATAGGATTTTCAAATTTAGAATATGAGTTTATTCTAAACATATATTCTAAATATATGTTCTGTACTTGAAACTCAGAAATATATAAAAGTGTACCATTCAAACAAATTCAGAGTACCATTCTTACTAGTTAACTGGAATTAATGAGCTTTTACTATAACCATATCATTTATAACTAGAAAATAATTCGTTCAAATTATGTAATAATAATTAAGAAGAAACATTTTATACTTACGGACAAAGTTCAACTTCTAAATACTGCTCAGTTATACCATTCAAGAAAAATGCTTCCACAACTTTTGAAAACAGAGATATAACATATTGAGAAATTTAATATTGCTTGCCAACAATAAATAATTTGTTTATTCTTTTAGAATATAAAATTAATTAACTATTTTTAATTATAATACTATCCCCATAGGAAAAAGGGCAAAGAAAATAGACATTGCCTGGAAGAAGAAATATATAGGAAATAAATCTTCAACAATTTTCTCACATATCAGATTGCCATATATTGAAAAAATTAATTAAGACTAGTGCTGGTGGCCAGGAACAGTGGCTCATGCCAGTAATCCCAGCACTTTGGGAGGCCAAGGCAGGCAGATCACAGGGTCAAGAGACCGAGACCATTCTGGCCAACATGGTGAAACCCTGTCTCTACTAAAAATACAAAAATTAGCTGGGTGTTGTGGCATGCACCTGTAGTCCCAGCTACTTGGGAGGCTGAGGCAGGAGAATCACTTGAAGCTGGGAGGCAGAGATTGCAGTGAACCAAGATTGCACCACTGCACTCTAGCCTGGCAACAGTGTGAGACTCTGTCCCAAAAAAAAAAAAGAAAAACAAACAAAAAAACTAGTGCTGGTCAGGTTGTAAAGAAATTAGCATTATCAAATAGACTTGAGCCACTTTTCTTCTTCTGGGAATTTATCCTAAGAAAATAATCTGACAACTGGGAAAAGAATTAAGTATAATGCTATTAATTAGAGTACTATTCAAAAATTAGAAATAATCTAAGTGATTATCCCCTATTACATAAAATTATCTCTTATTCTCTAAATAAATCTCCTATTATACAGGAGAGCTGTTGAATAAATTATGGAATTCATATATTCTATGCAATGGAAAACAATGCAGCTAGTAAAATCAGATACAATTAAATATTTGTTGATATAGGAAGATATCCATGATATTCAAGAGGTTGGCTGCAGAATAGCAACCATAATGTATGTGACATTAAAATTGCATGTATGCCTATGTCTAGATATCTGCAAAATGTGCAGAAAAATGTTAATGACTGTTTATCTGTGATTGCAGGAATTTAGGTAGGTGATCTTTCTTTTCTTTTTTATAATTTCCTGGAAATTTCTGAATATTGCTATTTTTAAAGTCATTTAATTTTGAATATAATACATCTTTCTTGTAAATAAATTATATGTGTGTATATATATATATATATATATATATATGAATAAAATAAAAAGTCAACGTCCTTTTCCTCCCCTTTGGTCTATATCCTGCCAGACTTAGGTGCTTCTACACACTATTGTAATGACTGAATAGTATTATTTTATAGAATGTTATAACTTATCCACTTAATCCTTTATGGATAGGCATTTAGGTTGTTTCCAATTTTCCATGTGTTATTTTTATAATAAAATATCTAAGATATAGTTCTATCAGCAATTCAGAGAATCTTATTGCCTCTTTCTAAATCTTTTATTGAGACAAATTAGAATGTCTAATATGACAGTTAATTGTTCTGTCAACTTAACTAGGCCATGGTATCCAGATATTTTGTAACACATTATTCTAGTTGTTTCTGTGAAGCCATTTTTTAAGATGAGATTAACATTTAAATCAGTAGACTTTTAGTAGAGAGATTTCCCTCTATAATGTGGCTAGGCCTTATCCAATCAGTCTAAAGCCTTCATAGAAAAAAAGACTGACCTCCCCCAAGAGAGGAATTCTGCCAGCAGACAGCCTTCAGACTTGAACTGCAACATCAACTCTTCCCTGGGTATTCAGCAGGCTTGAAGCAGTTCTTCAGTAGGCTGAAGGCCTAGGGAAGAAGGGACTCTCTAACCAGCAGACAGAAGACCCAGGGAAGAGTGGACTTGTTAGCTGCCACAATTGTGTGAGCTAATTTCTTAAAATAGATCTCTCTCTTTCTCTCTCTCTCCAAAGATATATATATATATATCTTTGTGTGTGTGTGTGTGTGTGTGTGTATCTTTGTGTGTGTGTGTGTGTGTGTGTGTATATATATATATATATATATAGGGTATATATATATTATATATGTATATATATGTCTGGAGATATATATATTAGATACATACATATATACATACACATTCTCTCTCTGTACATATATGTGTATATATTTCTCTCTCTCTCACACACACACAGATGCACTTATATATCTTTTGCTTTCTACTTTCCATCATCACCTTACAAATACTTTTGCAGCTTATCTGTATTAAACACTATATCAGATTCTGGAAATACCTTTATTATCTCACAATCTAATCAGAAACTAAAATGGAAAATTTTAATAAAAGTTCCAAAATGGAGGATGTATGCATTGCTACAGATAAAAAGAAAACAGATGTTTAGCTCAAAAAAGTGGTTTAGTGAAGGATTCCTGGAGAAGTTGCTATTTAAGCTCTGTCTTGAAAGATGAGTTGGAACTAGGTGAAGAATAATAGAAACAGCATTCTAGGGCAAGACAACAGTAAAATCAAGGGTGCACAATTAGGAAATAATGTAGCTTATTTAAAGATCTATGAACAGTTCAGTCTTACCAGGCAAATATTCCAATGTAGGAGGAGCTGGTGGTGCTATAGAGAGAATAAGGGGCCAGGTCATGGAAAATGTATATAGAGATCATATTAACAAGAGGAAAACTTACCTTGAGAGGAAAAGTATCCCGAGAAGGTTTTTAGGTAGCTGAAGGATGAGTTTAAATTTCCATTTTAGATACATCATTCTGGCTTCTAAGTGAACAATGGTCTTAAGGGCAAAAAGACTATTTAGAAGGCTCTGCCCTAAACCAGGTAAAAGATGATGAAAGCCTAATCTTTGGCAAGGATAGTGGGGATGAAGAGGAGATACTGAGTTAGAGGAATATTTGGGAGGCAAAACTGATGGGACTTAGTAAATAAATCCAAATAATTGAAAGTGTCGAAGAAGGATATCTTAGAAAGGTCTAACCATTTTTAGATTTGGTGATTTAATGTATTGTTAGTACCATTTATTGATATTGGGCAATTAGGTAAAGAAATAGTTTATTAGAGGAGTAGGTGAGTTGAGGTTAGAATCTGTTGAGTTTCATGTCTGTGGTGCCTCTAGCAGGTAAATCATATTAGTATGTATTCCATTAGGAAGATGGTATACACCAGTTTTGTAACAATAAAAGACAAATACATTTAACATATGACAAATTAACCCTGACAAAATGTATGCCAACAAATGACATAGATAAAGTGGATGTATTGACTAGAAGATTCATCAAAATCTTCTTGGAAAAAATGGGACATGAATTAGACCTTGAACTATGTGTTAGAGGCAGGGGGAATAGAATGAGAAGGTACACAGATCAAGAGCTTGAATATGGTGGCCCAATTCATAAGTATGCTGAAAGCTTAAAGGAAGGCTTTGAACTTTATTCTAGGGATAGTAATGATTTATGATCTGGGAAATGGCATCATGAAGAGTATTTCAGAAAGATGATTCTGATAGCTTAATTAGGATACAGAAGGAGATCATACAGCAAACCTGAAACAGTATAATTTCATGTCATGTCTTAATTTGATATGTGAGATGAATTGCCAGTATAAAGTAAAAACTACATTTCGTGTTGAGGTTGATAGTGTTTCAATAAGTAAAACATTTCAAATCTTCCATAAAAAAGGTTTATGAGGTTAGAGTGGTAATTTAAAGATACTTAAATACAAACAGGAATACTGAACACTTCTCAGCATAGGTAACAGAAATAAAGGAAGAAAATATGGCAGCAATAAAAAAAATCTGGATTTGTAATTGCCATTTTTTTTTTTTTACTGTTATAGTTATATAGTTAAAGTCACGTAGGTAATGGAGAAAAAGTCAGAATGAGAGATTGGTAGGAAGTATCAGAAACTGTACACGTCAATTGCTCAGAAGCACTTACTTCCCAACAGCAAGATAAAATAACAGTTCTGTGAGAGGTTATTATAAAAAGATTTATGTTTGCAATAAAATACAGTACTTCCACTTACCTTCATAATCCCACAGTTCATTGAAAGGTTTTCCTGGCTCTCCAAGTGGGGCTGGAGGATCATTGAAAAACGGAGCACTAATGTCCATCAACACTCCTCTGTCACCTGGATTCAGCCTGATAAATACTGGCTCATGATTCACTGGAAAACCATCCCAAGTGTGTTCAATTTTAAAATCCATCTGAAGACTCTGAAAGAAAAAACATATTAAAACAAACTCTTTAATGATATACAAATGTTTTTGTCATTTGGAAATAAAACAAAAAATTTCAACGCCAAACAGCAGACAGGAAGGCAGCAAAGTGGCAAGAGCACAGTCCTAGGAGTCAAAAGGCTATCTTGAGTTGTGCCAAAGCACAGACTCTGAGTTCTACTCTAAAATAGGTAACTAGTTCCTAGAAGCTTTAAAATTGAAGTCTAGATTTAGCTCTAGTGCTATTGTAAACAGTTCATCAAAATCATTTTTAATTGTAATTAAGTCTACTGCAAAAATTATTAATATACTTAACTGCAACTACAAGCACCATGGGTTTCTATGTCATCCTTTGTCTCTTATTTACTGTAAAGTGTGCAGGTGTCTCGGGTACTGGTTCCTCTGGGAATCAAGATCTTTGTAATAAAATTCAACTTCATTAAAAAAAATCTCCATAAATCAGAAGAAGCAGTGCTGTTAACATCTGTTCTTTTGGCTAAAATCCTTTTCTTCATGGGGGTTAGGGCTGGGGAGTTCCAATCATTTAAAAGTTATTAGAGTTGAATTTTGCCTTCCTTTGTCCCAGCATATACACTTTCCATTTTTAATATTTTAACTGTTAAATCACTGCTTGTTTGATAATTGCCTCACTCCAACTGAAAAATGGGAACAGAATCTACTTTCATTTAAACTTTGAAATAGACTAAGTACCTACAAAAAAGCAGTTTTTGCATTTTAAATTAGTTTTCTAAGTATTCAATAGAAGAACATAATATTTCAATGCATCAATAAAATTATATTTTTGAATAGTATGGATTGGACATTTTATAAATATTGTCTCATTTTATTCACTACAAACTTGCAGAGAAACTATTATTGCCTTCATTACAAATGGAACAGATTTGTCCAAGGTCACATGACTAGCATATCTAGACATTGAACTAGTGTCAGCACTGTTTTCCCCAATGAAGACATTTCAGGAATCTGCAAAGAGATGAAAATTTTATTTTAGGAGTGGTTGACCCCCCTCCCCCCCACAAATTATACTGGATCCTATGTTTTATCCAAAAGGTAATCTCACTCATTACCTGATGACTTTTCCAAACTGTAACTTCTTTTATCTGAAATCTTTGAATGTATTCCTTTGCTTTATATGTTATTTTTTACTGTAAGTAATTAAGTTACTAAATTGGAATAAATTTAATTCAGTGAATATGTACTGAAAAACTACGATGAGCTAAGCAGTGGGAGATCCAAATATACAAGCTCTGCATAATGTAAGAAATCCAAGATCTCTGAAAACTTTTTTCTAAAGCATATAGCTTTTACTAATTTTCACTATATGCTAACAAATCTTACTAAATAACCTCTAAAATTAAACAGTTCTGGTATTATAATCCATTTGTAGAAAGCTAATAGTATTTCAGAAGAAATGTTCAGCAACTCATATTCTTCATTATTGATATAAGCTCAGTGAGTGATAAGATTATATAAATTGATTCTGATTTAAGTGGAATTGTATGAAATAAAATACCTCAATAATAAATTAATTTTCTTTAGTTGAAACATCAAGGCACATTCTACAAAAAAAAAAAAATGTATAACCCTCTACTTTAAATTTTGTTAGTAATAAGTATCCTCATGCAGCATATAGGAAGAAATAAGAATAAATCAGGACATTAGAAATGCTGAATGACTCTAACTCTGACACCAATAGGCTGAGAAAAAATGCTATTCTCCTAATTTAGAGCTTGATAATTCCTGACAATTCTGGCAATATATCTTTGCTACTAGGAAGTTCTAGCAGAGTCACTTATTCTTCATACAACCACCAAATCCACAAAAATTCTGCATACATTATAAAGGATACCTATATTAATCAGTGGGTTTCCACTAGCGACTTCTTAATTTCCAGCACATTCAGGCAATCACCTCTATGTCTAAATGGAATAAAGGCATATCCAGTGATATCCAGTGATATGCTCCTAAAAGTGGCCTGTCACTTTCACACACACATAGTGGGTCTCACAGTGAGAGTGAGGTATACTTTGTAGCAGCTGTGTCCAAACTTTTGGCTTCCCTGGGCCACAATGGGGGAAGATTTGTCTGTCTTGGGCCACCATAAAATTCACTAACACTAACAATAGCTAAGCAAAAAGAAAAGAAAAGAAAAAAAAACACAAGAAAATTCATAATGTTTATGAATTTGTGTTGGGCTGCTTTCTAAGCCATCCTGGGCTGCATGTAGCCCATAGGCCTCGGATTGGACAAGTTGCATAGTTTCAAATTACTTCAAAATGTAATCTTACCTGGAAGTTAAGAAGAAGTAAAAAATAAAAGCAAAGTTACCGCTGTTAAGAATTAGGTAGTGAGTACCTCAAACCATTCTACTGGTTCCTTCTGCTTTCCCCCATAAGGTTTCTTTGAGCATTATTTGAAAATTACTGTCAGCAACAGCAACTGGACTTCCACAAGTAAAGAGTAACACATGGCTGATCAGTCCAAAGACAGAATATAATTTTGACTTTAATGCATAAAACAACTTTTGTTTCTTATTGCAAAGACAAATTTGTTTATTTTTTTAAAAAACTTTATATTGGTTAAAGAACATTCATGTAAATCTAACTATGCATAATATTTATAAAAATTAACCTAAAAAGTATAGTCTGTCCTGCTCAATAGTTAACAATCTAGTTTAAAAACAACACCAACTAGAGACAGGTGATTCTCCCCAACAGCCTTTCCATTTCTTTGTATTTGATCATGTGCTCATTAAGCAGAGACAACTTAATTGTCAAAATCCTTCATCTCTTGGGCCAGTGCTCCCCTCCTAGTCATTCTCTATTAACCTGTACACTGCTCTATGTCTATTCTTACATGGCACTTACATGGCTTAACATATTTGTTTATTGACTCCCTGAACCCAGCGAGAATGCCTGTAAGTGATGCTTACTATTTATTTTGTTGTGTGAATAATTATTCTAGTCCCTGGATGTAACACTCTAGATTTTGTACAGGAGAAACCTACTGTGTTCGTTTATATTGGTTAAAGATATAAACGAACACAGTATCTCTTTTAACACTACATAACAGATCAATACAATGGCTAATAACAAAGACGATAAACCCAGAAATTTCCTTTCAATTTAGTTTATCAAGCACTCATCTTGTTTCATGTACCATATCAGGTGCTGGAAAAATAATATATAATAAGTCTACAGGAGTTTGGGATGGTTCCCATTTCCAGTATCAGTTGGTTTACTTTGCAGTCCAATTTAAATCAGTGCGATCCTTATACCAAGGTAAGTTTTAGATGAATCAAAGATTTAAACATAAAAATCAAAATCATATAAAAACAAGAAAAAAGAGTTAAATAAAATCTTATAGTAGTAAGACAGGAGATGAGCTGGACTTGTTTTCTGAGTACCAAGGCCCTGCTGATTAAAACAGAATCTGATCAAAACAGGATGCCCCAAAGAAACTGGCCACAACCAGCTAAAACCAAGATGGCAACAAAAGTGATCTCTAGTTGCCCTCACTGCTGATTACACACTAATTAAAATGCGGTAGCATGCAAAAAGAAACTCCCAACAGAGGCATGACAGTTTACAAATGCCATGACAACTCCTAGAATTTACCATATATGGTTTAAAAAAGGGAAGAACCCTCAGTTCTGGGAACCTCTCCTACTTTTCTGGAAAACGCATGGATAACCCACCCCTTATTTAGCATATAATCAAGGAACTGCCATGTATATAGCTAGTCAACAATTCATGGGAGCTGCTACTACTACTCTGTCTATGGAGCAGCCATTTTCCTGTACTTTGTTGCTCTGATAAACTTGCTCTTGCTCGTGAATTCTTTCCTGCATGAAGCCAAGAACCCTCCCGGGCTGAGCCCCAATTCTGGGCTTTCCCTGCATTGGTAGAGAAAACCTTTTATAGTACAAACCAAAACCCAAACATTTGACTACATAAAAATAACAAAACCAACAAAGATGCAGCTGGAGGCTATTATTCTAAGCAAATTAATGCAAGTACAGAAGACCAAATACCACATATTCTCAGTTATAAGTGGAAGCTAAACATTAGGTACTCATGGACATAAAGACAGCAACAATAGCCACAGAGGACTACTAGAGGGGGAAGGGAAAGAAGAGGCAAGGGTTGTAAAACTAGTGGGTACTATGCTCACTATCCAGGTGATGAGATCATTCATACCCCAAATCTCAGTATTAGGCAATATACCCAAGTAACAAAGCTTCCTATGTATCCCTGGTATCTAAAATAAAAGTGGAATTTTTAAAATAATATAATATAATAAAAGCAAAAACCTCCTTCCCAAGTTCCCTTTACCCTAAAAGCCTATCATTAATAAAATTAAAAGACAGTCTGGAAAAAAGTATATTTAATTCATACTTAATACAAAGAACTAATTTCTTTAATGCATAAAGAGCTCCCAGAAATCAATAAGGCAAAGACCAACACTCCAACAGAAAACTGAGCAAAAATTATGAACAGCCAGTTCACAGAGAGAAAATGTAAAATGTTTACTTATAACGACAGAAATGCAAACTAAAACCACAAAATTGTATTTACTATTTTTCACTTAGACTGGCAAGGATCAGAGAGTCTGATAACATGCTGCATCAATGAGGGCATTGAGAAAAAAATCATATATTGGTCTTGAGATATAATTGACATAGCTCTGTGAAGAGCAATATATCAATATCAATATTGATATCAATATATCAATACCCTTTGACAAAAATAATTCTAGTTCTAGGAGTTACTATACCCACGCATATTCAAAATGACATAAGCATTGAGGATATTTGTTGTAGCATTGTTCAGAATAACAAAATGTTGGAAGCAACTTAAATACCCATTAGTAGAGGACTGGTTAAAAAAAATTATGCTCTATCATACAATGTAACACGGTAGAACTGCTAAAATGAATGCGGCAGCTCTAAATTAACATCTATTCTAAAATATGTTGTAAAGGGGAAAAAAAGCAAGGTGCATTTATTTAATAAAAAGGAAGCTTATTTGCATATATGCTTGTGATGCTTACACTATCTCAGGAAACACCCATGAAACGAGTGGTAACAGTGGTTGCTTCCCTGAAGGGAATTATCTGCCTGCAGATATGGGAAGGAGGAAAATTTCCTTTCAACTTCATCACTTTTGAAAAACCTATTTGCATTTTATACTAGGACAGACATGCATTACTATTTTAAAGTAAAGGAATAGTTTAAAAATATTTTTTAAAGTCCAATTCAAGGCTGGGTCTCTTAAAAAGACTATGGTGGCTGCCTCTTTTTCCCTTTATATTATATATGCTGAACGTTTCCAAAAAGTCATAATGAATATTATCAAGATGATTACTGTCCTACAATGCAATTTTAAGTTTGGCTGTTTAGACTTTAATACAGTTTATTGTTACTCTGTAAGTTTCCACTTTTAACCTCTATTCTTCAAATTGCTCTTAAAACAAGTTAAAAAAAAATAAATTTTCAATTATCCTGATTGCTTTATCTTTACCATCAAAGACCTCCAAAAGGAAACGAAGGAAGAAAAAGGAGACAGAACACTAGAGCATTAAGAACCCAGAAAAAGAAAAAATATTCACAAAGTTCAAAAGAAATAAGTTATGGAGGTGTTTTCTCAACTTAACGGTCTGCAAGGAAATTTTCCAAATTCCTCTGCTCAACAAAAATTCTTTTCGTTTTTCTATAATAATAATTTCTTTTCAGTTTCCACAACGCCCTGAGGCCCCGCCCATTTGTTAGATAAACGGAGAAATGAGGAAGTCAGCCTGAGAGTGGGAGTCCGCTCACTCAGCCGGAGACAGCCGAAAAGTAAAATAGCTTTGAGTATTTTCCACAGATCAAGCGAAAGACAAGACCTAGCGACAGCGAAAGGAATGTCAAAGAGAAGAAGGAATAACAAAAGAACACAGATCACGAAGCTTTTCTCAAACACTGGCTTCCTCCTTTTAGCCGGGTTACTGGAGAGGGCTAGGCTTTAGGCTCCACCCAGCTGCCTACACGTTCTGGGGGAGGGGCCTGGAACACTGAAGCAGAGTCATTTGATTTTTGTAGGAAAGAAAGATGTTGAAGGGCCACAGATGAACATCTTATGACTTCTAATCGTTCCACTAAAGTTTGAGTGGTTTCCTAGAAGCAGCAAGGGTAATCCAGAAATATAAATACTGTCCAATAATTTGAAAATCAACTGTAAATCATTAAGATTACAATAGAACATGTACAGAAATAATTAATTTAATGTAACTAAAGGCTAACTGGCTATATAAACAAAAACTATAAATTATATTATACTATACTATATTATACTATACTCCCGGGAGGCATGTTTATAGTGGTTAACAACTGTGACATTAGAACCATACTGCCTGGGTTCAAATCTCAACTCAGGCACTTGCCAACTGTGCTATGTATTCTGACCCTTGCTTAAACTTCTAACTTTGTGTTCTTCATGGTTCTTTGCACATAGTACTGGGTGCTCAATGTCAATCAACTAAATTAATATTAGTGAAATGTCACTAATTTTCAATCTATACAATTTTAGGGGTTTTCTTTATTGCAGAAAAGTCATAAAAAACATGAAATAGTGGCTTGACAACAGTTAAACACATACTACGTATATTTCTGCTTGTCATTCCTTGTATTCAATTTATACTAATAGATAGTTTCCATACACATCCACTAAATTCTTTCCATCAGATACTTAATCAACTCTTTGTGTTCCAGGTATTATGATGGAGCCTGGAGACAAACTATAAAACATGAGAGAGACTGACGGAAGAGCATGAAGTAAGTACTAAGGTGGCACCTACCTTGGGGGAAGTGGATAGAGAACTCAGGAGATGTGAAAAGGAGAAACACAAGAGGGGATCCTTTAAGGATAAGTGAAATCATCACAATTTTGTTTTCTAATGATGAAACTTATTTTGAAAATACTCCATTTAAAGTGAACCACTAAAATCTTGTAACCACAAACACAAACACAAAAACTATCATGATCATGATTATGATCATGTAAGCTAAAAAATTCAAGTGCAAACATAAAAATGTTCACTTCAGATATTCATTTCATGTAAATACCACTCATCGATTATATCCAGAAGGTATTTGCTTCCATCCAGTTTGGGTACAAGTGTAGAGTTAAGTCTATAATTATTTATTTGATGCCAAGTAAAAATACAATATGACAATATACGAGGTTCAAATGCGGGAGAAGTCACAAGCAAGTCCTTGGAGAGTCAGTGAGATGTTTATGAAGAAAGAGTCATATATACAGAATATCAAAAACGAGTTGGAGCTCGAACACTCAATTTCCCCTCAAAAGTTTTTTTGTAAACGTTATAGCTACTAAAAATCAGAACAAGTTCAATTATCATCAACTCTACGCTAAATTAGAGCTCTTCAATAATTATTAAGATACGCATCTATATTTAACAGCTGGTCTTTAGAGGAAGTCACCATCTCATTCTATTAACAGTGAGTACTGAGTAAGGCCTTCAGATGCCTAACCAGACATATTTGGATACATTTGTAAAATTTGTTAATACATATAGCTGAGGTTACTTTGTTTATATGACATTATGAGTATAGGACAACAAAACTTCTTAAGCTGTTAAACAGAAAGCCAAATCAAGCTGCATCTATGACATACCTGTTTAGTGAAACTTTACTTCAATCCATAAAAATACAGTTTATTAAAAAACACAAAACTAGTGGCTAGCTTCAAGTTAACATTTTTGTTGTTACTGGTGAGATTTCCTCCAATGTTAAATGTTTTTTTTTTTTAACATACGTTTTAAATCAAGACAAAATCAATTTTAAAAAATGAAAATTGTAATCTATCCACAAACATAAGTTTTCTTTTTTTGTTCGTTTTTGCAAAAAAAGGTACCTTTCTCCTTCCTTATATTTGAGGAGACAAACTTATCTTCGAAGAAATAGCTGCTAATTTGCAAGATTTTTTGAGTACTTATAACTACATGCTTAACTACTACACAGTTAAATATTTAAACAACAGTTGTCTTCTTTGTCTAAAGACCCACAAAGAGCAGGATGGTATTTACCTTCTTGAGACCACCAAATCCAAACCCAGAAATCCTCCAGAGGTACAGCCTTGGTGGGAGATTCTGAAGACGCCAGTGTGGCTTCCGCTCCCAGCCGCAGGAACTTGTCTCGTTTGCTTAGTCCAGAAGGGTTTAGTATATTAGTAACCTAAAGATAAGTGAGGGCATTTAAACTCTGTATTTCATGCCTTACTCACGTTTACATTTTGGGAGTTTTTTTTAAAGAAAAAAAACAGAAAAGAAAAGAAAAGAAAAGACCTTGGGCCCTACCACTTAGAGACACTGTCTCACTAGTTTGCCCGCCGCGCCAAGCCGGTGGGTCAGCCCGCTGTCATCCAGGTTCTTGCGGCTCCTCCCATTGTTTGACAGTCAGCCAATAGCGTGCTAGGACTCTAGGAAGCGCGATGGCGTAAGCGCAAACGCTCGCGTGATGACGCAGGCGGCGTCACCGTCTCCAAGGAGTGGTCCGGGGCACCGGTTTCAAAGTCGCAGGGCGGGCCGAGTGGACTTCCGCTGCTGGCCTGGGGCTTCCCAGCCGTCTTGGCGTCGTCCCCTCCAACCCCCTCCGCTCCGCGTAGAACGCCGCTCGCAGGCTGCCCTCCAGCTCCCTCGGCCCTCTCCTAGGTGGCGCGACAGGACCCCGAGTGACCTGCGGGACGCCTGTATCGACCGCTTCCTCCTCCCACCAGGGTGGGATTCGGTTGAATGTGGAACAGAATTCACTGGCGCGTCCCTAGCAGTCTTCTGTCTCTCGCGCCCGGGCCAGGGACTCTTCGGGTACGCGGGGGAAGGAAGCGTGGCGGGGCTGTAGATGCCGCGTGAGTAGGATGCAGATTGCACCGCTGGAGCGCTTGACAACCAACCGAGCGTTGGCTTAGTTTTGTTTTCCCGCACTGCGAGCTCTCTGCCTTTCAGAGGAACGTAGAGATGGTGAAAGCTCCAAACTAAAATTGTATCGAAATGGCCACAGAAATCGACTCTCTGAAAGAGCAAAGTAAGCTCCTTTTTTTTTTTTTAAACTTCATATTCATATATATGTTTAATGTCGTCGTCGTTGACCGACAAATCTTTTTTGAATGCTGGTTGGCTACATTTAAATTTGTAAAGATTTAAAGAAGTTAGTTGCCGGAAAAATAAAGCTTGATGGTATACGTGAGGATGTGTGCATGTTTAAGCAGAATCATGTAGTAGTACTTGCAGCTTACGCAGAACTCTACTAGACACTAAACATGTTTGCTATGCTTCTCTCGTACTCTGAAGACTGGAAGGCTAATGGCCAGCAACAGTTTCCAAGTGTGCGTTTAAAACCTAGGGGCACAGCTCTCTGGCCATTTGTTAGAAAGATGTTTATTGAACTCCTGTTTCTATTATGTACCATACACTATACAAGAACAGCTGCTGCAAAGATGAACAGGACAATTTGTACCTCCAAGAATTTAATTTGGGGAGGGAAATGTATTAATTCAAAAATATACTGAAGTGACAGCAACTGCTAGCTCTTTTGCCACAGTCTCATAGGGTTGTTGGAATGATTAAGTGAATATTAAAATATGTAAAGGATTTAGAATAGTATCTGATACATTGTGATTAATATAAACTATTACACGATTATTATTAAATTGTGATCAAAGAAGTTGCTATTGGGCTGAAATGTGCAGTACCAATATGAATTTACAATATAAAAACTCTAGGCATCCCAAATAGAACAGTATTTGCGCCACTGAGGGGATTAAGAATATGCTTCGTTAAAGACTTGTAATAAGGCTGGTTTGAATGGAATATTGATGTAAATTGAATTGGAATATTTATATAGGGAAATGGCAAGTGCAGTCGAAGGAGTAGAAAGGGACTGGATGGTGAAGGGCCCTGTTTTCCCTGTGCTAAGGAGTTTGGACCACTGCATAGGTTATAGGAATTCAATTGTGAGTGACATGATCAAATTGTAATTTAGAAGGTCCAGTCTGATTTTTATGAGGAATACACCTTATGGCAGAGTGCAGTTAGGTGACTACTGTCATCATTCAGGTAAGAAGTAAACTAAGTTGGGCACAGGAAGATTGGAGATCAGGGAATTTAAGAGAAAAAGGTAGAGTAAGCTTAGTTTTTGCTTGAGCAACAGGGAAGTTAGGAAAAAGGTATTAAGTTCCTTTTTTGATAGCGTTATAGACCAGTGGTTAAGAACTCAGCCGCTGAATGTAGTCTGTCTGGGCTCACAGCCTAACTCTTTCCAGGTCTGTAACCTTGAGTAAGTTTCCTAGCTTTTTTGCACCTCAGTTTTCTCATTTGTAAAATGAATGTAAGAACATAAAAATCCCCTTGAAGTTGTGAGACTTAAATGAGGTGCTGAAAATAAAGCATTTAGCATACTGTCTGGCACATATTAAGTGCATGTTATATGTTATCTAAAATAATTAATGACACTGTAATGACACAGTAACATTAGCATGATTTCTTAGGTTTGTAGTGGGAATATTCCCATCCCATAAGAACAGCTAACTGGCCACCATCAGAGTGGTATAGGACAGGAATTGGCTGGTGAGGAGTTTGGCTAGAGTGAGAAGAGTACTTGAGGCAGTCAGAAACTATGAATTTTATGAGTGATCCAGCCAGAGTTCTTAGATAAAATTGAGATCCAAATACCAGGGGGAAACAAATAAGACAGTTGAAGCATAGTAACATTTTTTGGAAAAGGAGTGGTGTTTGATAGTTCCACAGAAGACAAGAGGAGTGCAAGAAGGAAATCTTAAGCAGAAGAAGCAGAAAAAGGAATGGTTCAAAGGCTTGAAATAACTAGTTTTATTCAGGAAATTGGAGCCTGGAATGGTACAGTTTACCTAAAGAAGTAAGAATAAAAGTTGAGTGTCTGTGTCCCTCTCCTTTTTTCTTTAACAGGATTTTGCATGCCAGTTGAAAGTGATGGATTATTCCACTAACTGACCCACCTAACTACCAGCTCAGATAAAGATAGATGGCTTGTCTTCTCTCCACCTGCCTCTGACTTTTCCTGCATTGATTTCTATTGATCTTGCTTGTCTCTGTTCCATTTGGATTTGGGAGCCTAGCTCAAGACCATTTGTTTTGGTAATTCTCAACTGGCAACCCCACATGACATTGTCTCTGATAATTACTGTTTCAGCTTTACATATAAGGACAGACAGCTCCACACTTAACCTGGCTGCTACTAGAGTAAGCTTGTAACATTTGCTGTGCACTGTTCTTCCACCTCTGGGAAAGATTTTAGGAACCTCTAAGGAAGAAAGAATTCATCCTCGCAGTGAGGTGTTAGTGAGACTCACTGGCAGAGTGGTGATGGACTCAGTTTTTTCTTTTCATTCTCTTAACAGTGTTTTTCACTGAGCAAACATTTTTAATTTTGATGAAGTTTTAATTCATCAATTTATTCTTTTATAAATTGTGCTATTGGTGTCACATAAGAAATCATGCCTAACCCAAGACTGTAAAGATTTCTTCTGTGTTTTCTTCTAGGAGTTTTATAGTTTTAGGTTTTACATTTAGATCTATGGTTAATAGAGTTAAATTTTATACAAGATATGGGGTAAGGATCCAGGTCACTTTTTTGCATTGGATCTCCAATTGGAAAAACTACCCTTTTTCCATTGAATTACCTTTGTTCCCTTGCAGTTGTTTATTTATGTGTAGATCTATTTATGAACTCTATTCTTTTCCACTGATTTATTTGTCCTTCTGGACATGCATACTCCACTGCCTTAATTATTTCAGATTTATAGTAAGTTTTAAAATAAAATTGATTTTTATTTACATCATTGATACATCTCTTCTTTAAATTTTCTCAACTATACTTTGTAGTTTTTAATATTTAGGTTTGCACATCTTTTGTCAGACTTATGCCTGTGTATTGAAGTTTTTGATACTACTGTAAATGGTATTTTTTAAATTTTTATTTTACTTTAGGTATATACTATATCCAGCATTTCTCCCATGTGATCTCTCCCTGCCCTCCCCAACCCCCTCTGTCCCTCCCCTACCCCCCAACTGCCCCCAGTGTATGATGCTCCTCTTCCTGAGTCCACATGTTCTCATTTTCAACACCCACCTGTGAGTGAGAACATGTGGTGTTTGGTTTTCTGTTCTTGTGTCAGTTTGCTGAGAATGATGGTTTCCAGATTCATCCAAGTCCGTACCAAGGACACGAACTCATCGTCTTTTATGCCTACATAGTATTCCATGGTGTATATGTAAGATATTTTCTTTGTGCAGTCTATCAATGATGGGTGTTTGGGTTGGTTCCAGGTCTTTGCTATTGTACACAGGGCTGCAATGAACATATGTGTGAATGTGTCTGTATAATAGAATGATTTATAGTTCTTTGGGTATATATCCAGTAATGGGATTGCTGGGTCAAATGGAATTTCTGTTTCTAGATCCTTGAGAAATCGCCACACTGTCTTCCTCAATGGTTGAACTAATTTACACTCCTACCAGCTGTGTAGGAGTGTTCCTGTTTCTCCACATTCTTTCCAGCATCTGTTGTTTCCAGATTTTTTAATGATCACCATTCTAACTGGTGTGAGATGGTATCTTAATGTGGTTTTGATTTGCGTTTCTCTAATGACCAGTGATGATGAGCATTTTTTCATGTGTTTGTTGGCCTCATATATGTCTTCTGTTGAAAATTGTCTGTTCATATCGTTTGCCCACTTTTGAATGGGTTCGTTTGTTTTTTTCTTGTGTACCTGTTTTAGTTCTTTGTAGATTCTGGATATTAGCCCTTCGTCAGATGGGTAAATTGCAAAAATTTCTTCCCATTCTGTTTGTTGCCAGTTCGTTCTAATGATGGTTTCTTTTGCTCTACAGAAACTCTGAATTTTAATTAGATCCCATTGGTATATCTTGGCTTTTGTTGCCATTGCTTTTGGTGTTTTAGTCATGAAGTCCTTGCCTATGTCTATGTCCTGGATGGTTTTGCCTATGTTTTCTTCTAAGGTTTTCATGGTGTTAGGTTTTATGTTTGAATCTTTAATCCACCTGGAGTTAATTTTAGTGTAAGGTGACAGGAAGGTGTCCAGTTTCTGCTTTCTGCACATGGCTAGCCAGTTTTCCTAAAACCATTTATTAAACATGGAGTCCTTTCCCCGTTGTTTTTTGTCAGGTTTGTCCAAGATCAGATGGTTGTAGATGTATGATGTTGCTTCTGGGGCCTCTGTCTTGTTCCATTGGTCTGTATCTCTGTTTTGGTACCAGTACCATGCTGTTTTGATTACTGTAGCCTTGTAGTATAGTTTGAGGTCCTGCAGTGTGATGTCTCCAGCTTTGTTCTTTTTGCTTAGGATTGTCTTGGGTATGTGGGCTCTCTTGTGATTCCATATGAAGTTTAAAGTGGTTTTTTCCAGTTCTGTGAAGAAGGTAATTGGTAGCTTGATTGGGATAGTGTTGAATCTATAGATTACTTTGGGTAGTATGGCCATTTTCACAATATTGATTCTTCCTAACCATAAGCATGGAATGTTTTTCCATCTGTTTGTGTCCTTTCTTATTTCATTGAGCAGTGGTTTGTAGTTCTCCTTGAAGAGGTCCTTTACATCCTTTGTTAGTTGTATTCCTAGGTATTTTATTCTCTTTGTAGCAATTGTCAATGGGAGTTTGCTCTTGATTTGGCTCTCTGTTATTGGTATATAGGAATGCCTGTGATTTCTGCACATTGATTTTGTATCCTGAGACTTTGCTGAAGTTGCTTATCAGTTTGAGAAGATTTTGGGCTGAGATGAAGGAGTCTTCTACCTATGCAATCATGTCATCTGCAAATAGAGACAGTTTGACTTCCTCCTTTCCTATTTGAATACCTTTTATTTATTTTTCTTGCCTGATTACTATGGCTAGAACTTCCAATACTATACTGAATAGGAGTGGTGAGAGAGGGCATCCTTGTTTAGTGCCTGATTTCAAAGGAAATTCTTCCAGCCTTTGCCCATTCAGTATATTGTCTGTAGGCTTGTCATTAATGACTTTTATCAT